GTTCGCGAGGTACGTTTATACGTAAACAAGTGCGAAATTCAAACATAATTTCGATACTTTGACTCACTTCTCGTCGCGTACGTTCGAAATATTGGAAAATTAATTGGGATCGAATTTCCGACGACAAACTTTAGCAATTTGTACCCTAGCTGCAGTCAGTCAATCATGCAAGCAACTTTCAGAGTCACGAGAGGGATTTTCGAGATGGCGAAGGTAAAACAAAGTTCGTAACGTTTGTCAAAGTTTTTAATGCTTGCGAACTTTTTTCAACGTATTTTTTATTCGCACGATTTTGCAATCACCCTAGTTTATTTCTTTCAACTTCTACCATCGCAATGTGAACACGTTCAGGAGATAGAGTTGTGAACGTTAACGTGTGACACATTCAAAAGTAATTTCGATAATTCGACTTGTCGAACGTTCCAAATGTTAGGCAATTAATTGGGTCGAGCTATTTAGAAACCAATCAATCCTACAAATTAATTATACTCAGTACGCGTGTAACACAGTTTAGTGATCTCTGGAAAAGAAAACTGATCAATCAGAGTTCCATTTTAGGGTTCCAAATTAAATCAAATATAAACGAATATCCAATAAAAATGTAGCCACTTTTTGCTAACCTAGGTTTATCTAAAGTCAAATAATCCAAAATTTGGAATCTTTTTGTGCACGTTTACTTGTCGTTAAACTGATCGCGTGTCTAAAGATTCACGAGAATCTTTTCAAAAACGGCGCACGTAAAACGAAGTTTGAAACACTCGTAAGAGTTCCCAATTTACGAACTCTTCCACGTATATACCGAAAGTTCATGGTAACCCTCTCACCGAACTCTTTTGTCGATTTATAACTATTCCTTCTCAACCTACTCTATCTCTCACACCTCATTCCTCAATTCTTTTCTCGTATTGTAAAAACGATCGCGAAAAGTTAAAAGTTAAACGTTAGCACGTGAGCAACTGTATAACACATTCTAACACAATTTCGATTCTTTATTAACTCAGATAACATTCGAAAAATGTTGGAAAATTAATTGCAATCGAATGTTCACATTAACAAAAACTTTAAACGCATTTATTCATTATCGAGCCAATCACGTAACTAACGCGACTCACGAGTGTATTTTCAAAATGGCGAACGCAAATTGGAGTTGGGCTAAAAAAAATTAAAAAAAAGGTTTAATTTATTAACTCCTTCGCGAAGTGTATTATATATATATATAAGTGCAATCAATATACAGGAAGCCTTATTCTTGATTTATAATCATCCCTCTTGCACCACCCCCTCCAACCCTTGCACCATGAAATGCAAGGAAGGATCAAGAAGCGTGTTTCGTACAGCAGTCGTCGTCGTCGTGCCCAACTCGTATCTCGATCAACGACGTAATTTATCGTTTTTCTGGGGCGTCGTTGCTTAGAGAGCAGAACCCTTCGCCTCTTGTGTCTGACTCACCACAACGTTTCTCGTTTCAGAACAGCGTGAAATAAACGAGACGACTACTACGGCGACTACGATGACGATGACGACGACGAACTTCGTTGGCCATGAGAAAGTCTAAAGAGAGAATTCTACATTTTTAACCCTCATCCCAGAGTCCTTCGCATTTCAATTCGTTTTGTTTTTCAATCTGTTTCTCTCTTTGTTCTTCAAGATGGAGTTGGTTTTTTTCTTTTTTTCTATCTTTCAAATAAGGTAATGAAAATAAAGTATGTGAAGATAATTTAAGATATCTCTTTTGTTACTTTTGATATAAAGTTTGCAATTTAAAAATTAAAATTAATGTGTATAATAGTTTATATATAATATTAACAAAGACAAAAAGTTTCATTGCTGATTAGTATTTTGCATTTGAATTATACTTATACGAATAAATTTTATATTAATATTAATATAGTTTACGTAGTGATTTTGTAATACTTAGTAAGAAAAAGAATAATAATTGATCGAGATAAAAGTATGAAATTTGTTCTTCCAGGCCTACGGGAAATCGAAAGTAAAGCAATGGCGACGTGAATGACGCACCAAGATGGGGATTGGGGATTGATACCTGCTCCGAGTATACTCCGGATAAGTACCGAGAATTATGAAACGATCGAGCAAAAACTCGTGAGTCATCTTATGTCTTTCCTGGCACATAGTTGCCACGTTTGCACAACTTTCAAATTTCGACAAATCATTTTTATCATTTTACTGTAATATTTCAAGCAACCCCAATAATAAAAAAAAAAAGAAGTTCTCCTTTTTGTCGTAAAATTGCAACGAATAAAAAACAAGCTTTCCTTTTTACCGTAAAAGTTAAACGAACAAAAAACGAGCTTTCTCGTTTTCACAAAATATCAACCCAATAAAAATGCAAATAATATAAAGACAATTTAATTGATAAAAAGAAAAATCGATACAATATTAAGAAACTTAAAAATTTCATATTCCGTTGAGATGAAAGCTTATAAAAATGTTCTTTAAGATGGACGAACGATGCAATTTTATAAAACTTGAAATAATATTTTCAACGATAAAGTACATCGACCTCAGAGATCGCGACATGGAATAGATTTTCAAGTAAGATAAATGTCTCTCTATTCTCTCTCTCTCACACTCTTTAAAAATAGGAGACACTACTTCGTTTTTTGCAACTTCCTCGAATGACTAATATTATTACTCCCCTGTTCTCCTAAATTTCACTAGGAAGGATTATTAGTTTAAGCTCTGAGAGTGATATTAAAGCGCGATAGGCACGCAAGATTGTCGAGTACAAAAGAGGAATATATCGAGGTATGGCTTGTTCAATGGCCTCTTCATTACGACAGTCACAATGGCGCGCGAAATACTGCTGCTAACTATGCGTATAGGTCATCACTCTTTCTTTCTTACTCTCTCTCTCTCTCTCTCTCTCTCTCGATTTTTTTTTATCTTTAAAATTAAAAGAAGAAGAAAAAAATATTCCTACAACGTAAATTGACTTTTTATTTTTAAATACTTTAATAAATTTCATTAATTATCTAATTTTGCAAACTAACAGCCAAAACAAAAATGTTTATAAAATAAAATAAAAGTTAGCAAGTAATTTTTCAAATCGATTACTCCTTCTTTTCTTTTCTGTATAAAATCATTTAAAAAAGAAGGTGTCTAAATCCTTGTAATCTTTACAATCTGAAACAAAATAGCAATAGAAAAGGAGGGTTCTTTTTTATATACTGTAAAATTGTAACCAATAAAAAACAATCTCGTTGATTCGAAAATATTTAAGGCCAAGAAAAATACGACGAGCAGAAGGTTTTGTTTTTTTGCTTTACAATCTGAGTAATTGATTTTGGCAACCCATTTACAAATTTATTGCAAACCTAAGGAATTTGGGCTCAGTGTATACATTGGGAAACGTTAATGAACGATTACGTCGGTCGATTAGGTAGCATGTGTAAGTAACGTATAATATCAAGGAACGATTTCAGGCTCGATAGGCCGACATGAATCTTGTGATCGGTCGATTACACTGTGTAACGCTTGAATTATAGACGCTGAGAAGCCCGAGAGATAGAGAGAGAGAGAGCTTAAAGACTGTAAATTGAAGGAAACTTTGATTACGTCTTCTAAACGCATCAAACGATAATCTTAACGTTAAACGACGAGTTATTACGACAGATGATATCAAAGTACGCATGATTCCCTATGCAGAAAAAGTAACTGATGATAACTAATTGTAAGTTAAATTAACTCTTTGTTTGGAGGAATGTTTCATTTTCTTGCAAAATGGGTACTGAAGGATAAAAATAAAATGTACATATGTAATTTGAAAGAATGAACAGAAGGAGTTAAAATTTTCTTTTCGATAGATACAAAAAGATAAGCTTCTTTTAAACTTAGTCGTCATTAATGTACGTACTTAAGATTATCAAAGAAAAGACAATACGAGAAACGTTAGATTAGAAATTAACATCTCGATTAAAAAATGATTTCTTACGTACCAATTAATCTAGATAAAATGAAATAACGAAATGTTGTCATTGAAGATTTGAATTAACAATAAATAATGTTGTACAAAAGGAAATCTTCGAATCTTCTTTTACCGTTATGAGATAAAATGAGAAAACTTTCTTTCATACTTTCTCTAACAAGCGTACATAGCAGTTATCAAAGAAAGAAAGAAAAAAGGAAGGAAAGAAAAAAAGAAAGAAAGAAAGTAAGGAAAAAGTAAGATTTGAATTCGACATACTTAATAACGAGAAAATGGCGTTGTCATTCTTAAAATTCACTTAACGTTATAATGCATGGTTGTGTTTATATCATATTTATAATTCATATAAAAAAAGATATAGTAAATCTAGTCGATTAATTATTACTTACTTTGAAATTTTATTAATGAAAAAAAAACAAAATAGGATTCAAAATAAGTTAGGCTAGAATTTGTTATACCAAATACGAAAGATACAAATTAATATTTCAAACATGTAATAAAACAAATCTAATCCTATTAATTCTGAGTTTACAATGAATGAAGTTAAGTCAAAGTTGGATCAACGTTTATCGTAAGATAATCTAAAAAAAAAATAAGTTCTACAACAAAGTTCAATTAAAATTCGACATACCCAATACAATGAACAATACATTAATCAAGTAAAATTCAAATTAACATTATCAATCTATAAATCAAACACGATCTCTTATCAATCCAAAATCTGCAATGAACAGAGTTAAATCATAACAACAGTGGGACCAATGTTTCTAGTAAGATAATCCAATGATAATGAATTTTGTAATAATTTGGATAATAATAAAAAAGTAATAGGAAAAAGTTAAATAATCGATAAATTGTACACACGCAAAAAAGGTCCATATAATCAGTACCACAAATTCAAATGAATCAAACATGATCCTATCAATCCCAAGCCAAGCCAAGCCAAAGCAAACTTCCAATGAACAAAGTTACGTCATAAAAATAGAAAGTATTGTATGTTGATCGTAAGATAATCGGAAGATGTTGGATCGATTGGATATAAAATTCTTACCGATGTAGCATCACCGTTGGCCTTCTCTCCATCGAGTATTCTCTGCCTGAGGGCGAGTCTTTCAAGGCTTGCTAGCCTGTAACTACCCCCAGCTTCTCTGTCTCTGCTCAGTCTCTCGGCAGCGCCACTCCCGTTCGATCCCGCGTTGAAACTCGACGTATATTTCGGTAAAGTCGGAGGCGGCACTTGCCGTGGCTTCTCTCGATTCAACATCGAATTACTGCTATAAAGGAACGACGAGTTGTTTGGTATCGTCCTCGTATTACCGCTCACGTTGATCGTTGCTGATTTTATTCCGTTACTTTGCGTTGATCCTGCTGAACCGTTTTGTTGATTTTCCGTAGACATCTTTTTTCTTTTTTTACTTTTACTTTTACTTCTTCTTCTTTTTCTTTCTATTTAAATTACTACCACCTCACTGGCAACAATACCTCCTCTTCTTCTTCTTCCTCCTCCTCCACGACTTCTTTTCCTTCTTCGTTTTTTCTGATCACGACGATCGTTCGATTACCTTTTGCAAGAGGGAAGAAATCTTTTCCGATCGATTTGGCTTTTTGGATTTAATTTTACACGAATAATTTACACAGTGGCATAACGAACGATCAAAATTAATTACTGTTATTACAATCATTCGTATATTGTTTTTGTTTTGTGTTTATCACACGACTTTATATAACCTATTTAATTATAACATTTTCTTTTATTTTTTTTTTAATATAAAAAGTATAATAAAATAGATCGAAGAAAAATTAACATTTGATTGTAAAAATGAATAAAATGTAAATGATATTAAACAAAATAAAGTTAAAATAAAAAGCATATAACAAATGTTCGTTCTTACGCCACTGTATTTTAATAAATAATATAACACAAAAATTTCAAAAACTCGCACATTGGTTTCTCTCAATACCAAATATATGTAATTTACAGGTATTCCACATACGCTTGATATTTTACATCTCCATCTAATATTTTTCTCCTGTCATATTGAAAAAGAACTCCATTGACACGATCAAATATAAACCGCTTTTAAAGAACACCTCTTAACTTTGACATTACAAAGCTTTTAATTTAAGATAAATAAATCCCTTCGAAAAATAATTTATCATTTTTTGTCTCCGTAACTTTTTCTAAAGATAACCTCAATTTTATCTTCTCTATCGATCGAGATTATCAAACTATGTTCACCGACTAAAATGATTAAAAAATCACCAATAACGTTCGAGCAATACAAACAAACAAAATAAACTTTATTACGATAATGTACGCACGCGCGCACATAGAAACATGCTTGAAATTATTGGATATTAAGCAAACAAATATGCGTACTAATTGTAAATATACAAAAAGAAAACAAAATTATACACAATTTTCAACCATAATGTAAAAAATGAAAATTATAAGAACATTTATTATATTGATGAAATTAACAAAAAAAGTTACAGACATTTTGTATACAAAAAACCGAAGCACCCATCGAAAATCGATTAGTTGTAAATTTAATTATCTAAAAATTCTACTGTGTACGATAAAAAAAAAAGAAAAATATAATTAAAAATAAAATTCGTAATAATATTGAGAAACTTAAATGCCTGTAAGGAAGGTAATCCACAAGAGACAGCAGTGTTGGGTCAGATGCGTAAGGAGGACGTATATGAGATAAACAATTTTACCATACGATAAAAAATAAAATGAAGAATAAAATTCATCATAATATCGAGAGAAACTTGAATGCGTGTAGAAAGGTAAACCCATGAGAGACACTTACGGTGTTGGATCTGATGCGTAAGGGCGCACGTACGCGTCGTCACACACACGCACCGTGTGTGAAAAGAGAAAAAGAGAGAAGAAATATATATATAGTGTATATATATATATATATATATATATATATATAATATAGTATATAACGTGTATATATATATATATATATCTCAGCCGCAGAGTAGAGATAGAAAAGAAGACAAGAAGACGATCGACCGTCTAAGGTTGAGGAAGAAAAAAAAACAGAGATAGGAGTGTCCAATACTCCCAACACACATTACATACAAAGAAGTCTTTTTAACTTTGTATATATGTATATATATATATATATATATTTATGGGTGTCTGTCTTTCTCAGTTTAGAGAGAAACGAAGCCGCTCAAGTTAAATTCCTCAAGATTATTTTTCAAGAAAAAATAAAAAAAAAAAAAAAAGTAGTGGAAGAAGATGCACGCTGGAAACTTGATGGTGTCCCGTATAACACGTCCCGTTCTTACTCTACACTCTTACTCNTTGTTTCATTCTACACGTCAAAAACTCCCGGTTTATTCTTTGCCATCTTGACAGTTTGTTCTTTTTTCTTCTTTATATCTGTAAAAAAAAAAAAAAAAAAAAAAAGTAGTGGAAGAAGATGCACGCTGGAAACTTGATGGTGTCCCGTATAACACGTCCCGTTCTTACTCTACACTCTTACTCTATTTCTTTCTCTCTTTCTCCTTCTTTATTCCTTTCTCTATCTTGATGTATTTCTCTCTAAAAGCTTCAAGCAAAAGCTTCACGAACGATCGTATTGCCGGCGTTGTTGATTCACACCATAGCCGAGTTGCCGGCTGAACGTGGTTAAGATCACCACTCTCACTTTTTCGCTCATCGTTCAACAATTTGACGTTATTATTATTATTATTATTACTTGTCTTTTTTTTTTTTTTTTTAATATAAAGAACTATCGTTAATTGAAATTTACTCCGAGCATAAATTCTATACTTATCACACTTCCGATATGCTGATGATTTTTTTGGATAATTTCTTTTTCTTGCTTATTTTAAAAAAAGAAAAAAAAGAAAAAGAAGAAAATTAGGGAATAAATTTTGTAGATTTATCTGTATATAATTTATATATATATATATATATATCGATATATGTTATTTTCTCTCTATTCACGCACGTAATATAAGAGTGTGATACACGAGGAAAGAAAAAACTCCACCCTAAGAAAATACCGGTAAGAGCGTCCTACCTCCGAGTAGGTTCTCACTGCGACTGCCAGAATGACCACGCCTGACGCAGCTGCCGAGTATGGTGGGGGGGAGAAAGAAGCTTCGATTACCCCCAGCCCTCACCAGATGGATCTACTCTCGACCGGCTAACATTGCTACCAACGCTAACTTGTTGGAAATCTAACCTTTCTTTTAACGAATAATGCATCGAATTGATTTATACACGCACACACAAACACACATACACGACATGCATTTACTGTTTGAGATTCCTGACCTCTATTCGAAAAGATTTAACAATTCGATCGATCAAGTTCATCAAATATTCATGAAGATTATGATTTAAGTGTATTCGATAGAAGTTTGCCGAAAACATGAATAATATTCATGAGATTTGTTTTTATTATTATTATTATTATTATTTTCTATATTTGTGTATGATTTATTTATACAGAATAATGAACAACATTTAAATTTAGTTAACTGTGTTGTTAATGGTATGTCGAATTTCTTACATCTCTTTGTTGTCAGCCAATCAACCAAGTACGACGACCAATGGCATCGCTTCTTTCTCCGATTTTAAAGCACAAAGAAAGTACTGTCGTATAAAACGACGCATGCGTAGTCCTAATAATTGCTTTTAAGAACAATTTTTGTTTTAATAAATCCACGTTGAAGTAAAAAAAACATTCGATTCAATTTATTCCTCGAAATTTTTATTTATTTTGCAAATCTATTCTTTTATTTATTCGTAATATGAATCTATCAAAATATCCAGAAAGATATTTAAACAGACACTGAGATTTAAATTTCTTTTTTTTTTTTTTTTTTTTTTTCACATTTGAAAATAATTACTTTGTCCATCTTGAATATCTCCAATATTTGTAATAATATGAAATAATAGAAAGAGATTGTCAGAAACATTGCCTGAGGATACAAAGTAGTATGATGGCTACCAGTAAATGGTAGTAGTATGATCAAGAACGTTTAATCTTTC